TATTGCCGGGCTGTTGACAATAAGGTCGTGTTTGACTAACTTAAAGGTCACAGCGTGTTTCAGTGTATGCCTATTAACTTCTGACCGTTTGCCTGGAATGGTTCCTGGAATCTTTGCAGATGGATATCGGACCCCACCTAATCGAGAATATTTCTATTGGTTTTCGAGTATTGAACTCTTGCTTCTTGATCACTCCTTTTATTGTTTAGCACGTTAGTCTTTGTTAGAAAATTTCTTGACAGTACCGTTTGAGGTGTTTTGTACTTTTCATATAATTTGATCTCTTTCTTTCATTGGAACAGTTTAAATCAAACAAGGAGTTTGTATTTTTATATAACTTAACACGATTAACTCAAAAACGCTTTGTACGCTATAGAGAAGAACGTAGTCCGGTTTAATCGAATGAACTTTGGTTCGTTAGTTCCGAAGTTAAACCGAATATTGGTATTTCAGTCGTTTCAGGTTCAATCAACCATTTACAGGGCTTGGACCTGTGGGATTATGGTCTTGTTCGTTATTGGTACTATCATAATGATAGAGATAATCCTATAATTGTAGATTTTTCATTATGTGACCATCTAGTCTATGAGATCTTACGCGGAAGTCCTATCATTATGACTCATATTTTTAGTTCCACGGAAATTTCTTCATTGCAAAAGGAATAGGTTGGCCAACACGGATTTACTCGTCATCACAGATCACCTAATAGCCATTAACTTCTCATCAGTAGTTCTTCCTATCAGTTCTATGGCATTCTATTTGATGTTACGTTATTCTATGGACCAGATGAAGATTTCGGCAAAAGCAGTGGGGTTTTGGCGAGTACTTGGTTTACAAAGTGAAGTTATGAAGCAACAATCAGGCCAAAGTGTGGTCTTCAAAGCGAAGAAAAGTCACTGAATGTTCTATCGAAAGACGTTTTGATTTTGTCGCATTAGTAGACTACATAATTACGAGAACGCCTGAAAACCACTGAATCATACGGGCACCCAGCCAACTCATAGCAATTCATATACATAATATTCGTTGCACACCAGGCAGTTAAATATTGTTGAAACGAAACACCGGAGGGATTTGAGAGGACCTTGACTTTTATCGTGTCAGGATTTACAACCTGCCCAGTTTCAATGGTGGTCAGGAGACGCGCTCATACACGCAAATCACCAGTTTGTGCAGCTGAGTGAGTCCTGCAAAGTGAAAGCGAGATTGTTACCTCCATCCCCAAACTGTTAGCGTTCCGTACCAATATCATTGACATGGGTGTAGAGCGACAATCTTGGTTCCTTATGTTCTCTTCGATATTTCACGGTTCGGTTGTCGAACATGTATACAGCACTCACCGTTTAGCGACAACTTCATTGTGTCACTATCGATCTCGACCTGTAGTCCATGACCCATAATGATTGTACCAGTAATCATTAATTTTACAATCACTGGCTACAAAATGATCATTAACTTCGTACGTTGAAATCATGAACTTTTTCACGGTTATAAACCTGTACATCCAGTTAGCCTGCTAACTATAGATATAAATAGAATTCGACAATCGTGAACAGTAAACCATCAAAGACAAAGATCGACTTTATACTTTAAGTCAACGACAGTACAAACATTGACATCAATTGATAATACGCTTATCGTACTGAGATTGCAGTATCATTACTCTTGCGACAAAATGAATGTTGCTTATCTGCGGAACTCAACCACTTTTCAAACAAACTTTTTCCAAAATTGCTTGATAAAGTATTAAAATGTTATAGTATTATTATTATTTTCATTTTTAATTGCTTGACATCCAGTCAATCTGTAAGTCATATTTTTAAGCACATCGACAATTTTAGTATTCTCAGATTTATTACTACTGGCTATTTACTGATTTGGTTCTGCCGCCTTCTTCACATTTGCCTTACAAATTAGCAACACCCAGAGGAGCCTCGCCATTTTTGACAACCTTCGACGCAAGATTATCTGTTCAAACAGTCGTTGAGTCTGGTGCGGGAGTATTGTAGGGCCAGAAAATATCCCTGGAACAAACCGGGATAAACTCCTCAGTATTTCATCCTGTATCTAAAAGTAGGCGTATCTCTTCGTGTTTGAGCAATGTCCAACCACATTTATCGAGCCGCTCGGCAGTAGCAGTGGCTTTTGAACGACTTTGTTCTTAGTCATTGTTTTTTCACTGTTTTTGCTATCGTAAAGATATGCAGAATTACAGCTTACTTTGTTATTAGTACTATTATAATAATAGACCTATAACCTAAAATTGTAAAGTTGGCTCCATGTGGCTGCACAATCTATAAGATCTTACGTTGAAGTTACGCTACTGTCTATTCTGACTCATCTTATATGAAGTCTATTACTTTTGAATGATATTAAAGATAGAGTAATATATTCAGTGTGAAAAAAGTTACGCAGTGACCACGTCTGCGATGCTGAGCCACACCATCCGACTGAGTTGACTTAATTCTTCTAGCCTCCCTCATTGTTGACATTCTCATCGTATTAATTGTTGAATATGCATTTTCCGAGTTATCTCATCTTCAGCATTGAGGATTGTGTGATTAGGACCAATATGACTACAGACACGCATTATTGATTAAATACAATGGAAATATAATGGTTGAACCGGTCTAAAACTACTTTTATCCTATTACATAATTAGTAACGCGAGACCTGATTATTCATGTTCTACTACACCTATAACCTGAATGTATTTATTGGTGCAAATGTGTCTTCACCGGGAACTGTCCAAACTGAATTTCATCAAATGAATAAATAAACGTACAGGACGAAACCAGACCAATGAGACTATTGGGCTTGTATGAGTTCCTAAGCTTCGTATTACCTACCTTTTGTAAGGTAGTTTAGGAACGACTGGAATTTTGAATTTCAGGTCTTAGATAGTTCTTAGAATTTAGTCCTCTGGAAGCGGCAGTCCCTGTTACACACCATTCTCAAGTGCGAGACGGCTACTTTGAACACACTGTAACGTTAAAAGAAAAATGTCTATTCGAAAGTGTTCTTGCTGAAAAGTAAATTAACAATGACAAAATATTTAGGTCTTATAGCTAACGTTTGGTTCGCCATTACAGAACAGTTCATTTAGACTTGGTTTCCAGATTCACAAACTGCCTCATCAATCTGTAAGTTTCATTCCGCGATAACGGCAGCAAACATGATTACTATAACGAACTTGTTCACTTTGTGCTGTTCTGTTGTTTAAGCTGCTAACAACTGTGAGACTATTTCTGCCACAAGGTTCTCCTGCAAACTTACTCCACCATACAAGGAAACATATCAATATCAACTAGTGGGGACGACAGTGAAGATACTTTCCAACATACGCGAAGCATGAGTTGAAGTAGGGCCTAGTAATACGGCGTCATGCTTCCGAAATATGGAATCACATTAATAATCACTCTATGGATCTGAGATAAACAAACTATGCCGGTCTAGAAATAGGCATGCGATTGTTCGAGGACGGAATGAGGCATGAGTGAAACCCTTTAGAAATACGGTGTAGGTTCATCATTAGTACTGCTGTAATGATAGACCTAATCCTTAAATTGTAGATTTGTCATGATGTGACTACCTAATCTGTGAGATCTACTACAGAATTAATATCATTGTCTACACTGACTCGTCATTTCGTAGCTATTGGCGATATAACGTCTAGCGCTTTTTAAGAACGCATTTGGGCTAAAGAAAGAATAATATACTTAATGTGAGTAAAGATGATTTATACAGAATGACCATGTTTGAAGCTCTGAGCCACGCCATCAGACTGAATGAAAATGCCCGCTCACCATTGTTGGATTTCCTTACGTATTGATTGTTGAACATGCATTTTCCGAGCTGTCTCATATTCAGCATTGAGGATTGTGTGGTTAGGACCAATGTCACTACTACTCCATAGCTAACTTGGTGTGAATGTGTACGCAGGTAGTAAGACGAAGACAGTACCAGATCATAAGAGTTTCGGTGCAATCTTATGCCTGCAGTTCGTTTAGTTCGTAAAAACTTGTATGATCAGGATACGAGCTGCATTACTCTTACACTATGCGAGAGACAAATAAGCTAGGGCTGTATTGTAATGGATTTTAGTTGAAACACATCTTAAAGTTAGGTATATAAGCATCCTTCTTATAGACATAGGATAACCCATTTTACCAAAGTTTCTTGAGTATGATCCTGTTACTCACCAGATATTGAGCATGGAATATTTTCAGACGGAGAACTAACGGCAGTAAATCAAAACTAGAGGCAATATTAAGAGACAGTCCGTTTAATAGTGCGTGGGAATGAGCCCATTGGCACAGAGATATTGATATCAATATGTTTGCAAAGTTATCAATATGTCTGTGCATTTATTGACAGTATGGAACATCAACTAACAGGAGCATTTATGGTAAGAACAGTTACGGTTAAATACATCTATACAGATGTCACGAATATACAGTTTTTGAAACGCTGTAGTTCAGAACTTTCTTTCGAACCAGAACCTTTGAGTAAGTTTACTCAACATTCCAGGGTGAAAAATGAGATGATATATTTTAGAAATGGTCGGCGAGTTTAGGTGTATGCTATCCAAACTGACGACGTACCCTGTAATGATTTGGTGCAGATGCTTGACCGTTCGCCTTTGAGCTATTTTGTCTAGTAAAACTGATGAAATCACCATAACAGTAGGAGACCTATAGAGGTATTTATTCCGGAAATTTATTTACTGTTACACATTTAACCTCGCATACACTAATTTAACGACTTAGATGTTTTATAAAAAACACTCACTGATAAGTTCACTATCCCAGAAGATAACTTGAATTAATTACATTATTTGCTTTTCACTGAAAATGTAACATCAAGTCGTTTTATTTATTAATGAAATGTGTCTATTTGTTTATCTAAGGTATTTTATACTATCACGTTAAGGAGAGCTTTCAACACAACTGTTCTACGTTGCATAGCTGTCGCCTGATCACTCAATAGTGGTAGACATAATGCAGCGTGGCTCTACCAACAGAGAACTGCTGGATAGACTGGAGGATCATGCAGATTGGGTAATGCTTTTTGACTTTCTTCGCTACCACACTGTCGTATTTTTTTTTTACAGATAAGGGTTGCTACGGCACACCATTAAATCCTCATTTTATTCTCAGGCTATATAAATACGAATTATTTCCACCACATAACAGGGTTTTTACTGTTGTTAGGAGTTGTCTTCAAATTATTGAATAGCATTTCTATATTCCTACTTAGAAGTAAAATAATTGAAAATAAAGTTGAAGTCAGCTATAATAAGCTTCTAAATTATGTTCGTAGTGGACCTCAAAATAAAGTTCATCGTGAAGCTGCTCATGACCATTTTTTAAACCCGTACGGTCGTCTCACTACTATATTTACAAATCTAAATCCTTAATTTTCAATAATTTCATATTTGACTCGGTTTTTAGTCAAAGGGCTGATTTTTCCTGCAGTTGATCACTTATAAGACGACAGTGTAGTCTAAGCCAAATTGCAAGGCTTTACGTCAATTTGTAAAAGCAATATTATTTTTTGTCAATCTAGCAATCCAGCTCACTTCGTAGACATTCCATTTAGTTTCATTTCAATATTAGCCACTAGAGTGAAAGTAGACCTTTTTTGGTAAAAGTGCTGACATTAAAGTCTTTTGAACACGAGTAACAGTCCAGTTTCTCTCTAGTGGCTTCGTGACTGGTTTCCACCATCACCAAAATTGATCTTAGGAAACAAAATAGCTGAGCGTGTTCTCGAACCCACTTATCTTGGAAGTCCTATCAGCCTAGGTAGGATGGTATCTAACGAGTCTTCTTCACAGACACCAAACGTCCTGTCAATTTTTCTGACTTCCATCATCTCTGGTATAGAAAAGATGTCCGTCTGCACATTGAAAGACAAGTATACTATGTAGCTATCCATTTTTCACTACCCTATGGTCTGTGAAAAGAGAAAACATACGTAATCTGCAAATTTTCAGTCAATGATGTTCTTGAAGCATTTCTTACTTTTGATGGAACAACCTAGCGAACGGTTCTGAAGTAAGCCATAGGGTACTAGGTAAGTATGGAAAGTCAGTTGATGTTGTGCGTCTTCATCGATTGGGGTTGCTGGGATTCTACGTATTCCAGCAAACCTACCTTGATATACAGTGCTTTCTGGTGCAAGCGTAAATTGCAGAGCTAAGGGCGGTCCTAAGTACATGCAGTTATAGTCCATCAAGTCATTGACTGTCGGTCTGAGCCGTATTGGTAGGTTCAGATTATCATGTCAGGGTCTGTGCGATAACCGCTTTTGACTACACGTTGACCGACATGGTTCGGAATCGATTACGGTCTCATAGGCCAACTCACTATTCATTTCCATCTAAATCTTAGGGCCCTATATTTCTTCATACGTACGTTTTCGTCCCATCTTGAACCATTTGTTTCTTGTTTGATCTTTATAACTGCTACCTCAGCATCAGTATTCCTCTCACCTCATTAACATGTGTCAGATCATAAGCCCAAACTGAAACTATATGCTTGGACGTAAGCCGTAACAAAACAGGTGTCTGATAGCCTGATATATATATATATATATATATATATATATATATATATATATATATATATATATATAGTAATTGCTTTTTGAAGTGGGTTTAAGAAACCATAACGGGTCGAAGATACTATTTAGTTGAGCCATTTCCTTCGTGGCATATGGATTAATCTCAAGAGTTAGACCTAATATAATTTTGTACGTAGTATGATCGTAGGTCTGATTTTGAGTTGAGGTTTCGTACTGACTTGTAAGACTAATGGGTCGCTATTACCTATTGCCAATCCCACACTAAGTCGTCTGTGCTCTTCTATCAAACCTTCTATTACCATATAGTCTTCATTTATTCATAAAGAAGATCCATTTTATCATATTTCTACTTTTCTGGAGTACTAGCTAATTCATTAGACGTCATTGTCATTAAAACAATCATACTTCCCTATGATAATTCAGTAATATTTACCTGCAAACAAAAGATTCTTAAGATTGATAACACTGTAGCATTCACTATTTCTGTGCTTAAATGTTTTATTATCCATTTCATGGTTTGTTTACTTCTCTGTGTTTGTCCTGTGATTTTTACAGCTTGTACGAAAAAGTCGACGTTATCTACCTCATATAGCTAGATTCTGTCTCGTATCTACATTTATTGAAGATGGTTTTCGACTTTTAACTCAATGGTCTGACCAAGTGGATTATATCCAATCTGTTTGGGGAACCCATGTCATATTTGCAGCCTTTTTCATTTTATTGAACATCTGCTTACAGTTTATTGGAAGTGCTTTTGTCTTGGGTCGTTATCGAGTGAAAATTGGCGTTGGAATTCTTATGTCAACTGTATTATTACAAGTTAGTGTTCACACTGTCATGTTTATTGTGTATATAGAATAAATTCGGAGTCGCATTTCGAGTTCATTAGCGTGTATATTAATATCCTTTTTTTAAGTTTAATTCCTTCCATAGAGTTAGTAAGCTACCCAATACTCGAGATGTGATAGTATTGCTAGGTTTCGTTGTCGTATTGAAGTATTAGGAACTCGTTACTTTGTTATGCATTTCTGACAATTGTCATTTGTTCACTATCAATCATTTTGCGTTTTAAAGGCATAAAGTTAACTCCCACATTCACTACTAGTTTTTCTTTGGTCCTAGATTTATTGTCTCTTTTAATGAGCTTACCATCATGTCTTACAGTGTTTTCATTCAATTTATTAAAGTTTTGTATATTCAGGCATTATAACTAGTTTAGTCAACAACGTTTTAATCTAGCAATTTATTGAGGATATAGGGTCAATTTATTCGAATATATTTGAGGTTGTTCTGACTGGTCATTTTACAGGGAAAATATGTACAACATATTGTCTTATTTTCTATGTACAACCATTGAAGTTAACTAGTCAAAGAATTAGTACTCGCTGCCATTCTTTTTGATAAATGTCGTAATGTTTCAAACCTGTTATTTCTGGCAGATATCGACATATCCAAAGGAGAAATCGTCGCTCTTCCTTCTGAGAATAGTAGTTGTTATCATCTTACAATTTATTTAAACACGTGAAAATTGGTACAAGTAAGCACCAAATACATATGCGCCACATAAATCATTCGGTTTATGTAAGGGCTGGAATACTGCCAGGGTGCCCAAACCGAGGCAGGTGGTTTTCTCAGGAGGCCATATCACGAGCTTTTGACCTAAAGGTCTGATTTGCAAAGCAGTGGAGCAACGTCAGGAGATTCAGTCGCATGGTAGTGGGTGACCAACAAAAGGTTCATCAATCATTTGTTCCCTTAGGATCCTGGAGCCCATGTACACCATTGGTTTAGAATCAGGGTTTTCCAACTGCCGTATGTGGATCCTTTATATCCACCAACCCGGTTAAAGCACCGAACATTCTCTTTTCATCCTCTCAATTTTGTAAACAATAGTAATGTCACTAGAATGCAGTGAGTAGGACCTGTGTGACAGTGGCTGTATACGCGTGGCCATGTGAGCGCATTTAGAGAGGGAGGTCTGACTTTTTTTACTCTCGGCCGTACCAGAGTATTTGAGCACCACTTATCAATTAGTGTCATATATGAAATTCTTTAAGAGAGTATGATAACAGTTAGATAGATTGTTACTATTTCCTTCATTCATAATCAGTTTTAACAGTTTAATCAATTTCATAGTTTTCAAACACCACAAACTTTTTGATATCAATCTGATTTTACAAGACTCCTAACAAAACTGATTTGTAAGCAAAGATGAATAGTGGCTAGCAGTGGAATCCATGACGCATGTTTCATTCTATTTGGGACTCGTCAGCTGGATTTACTTGCATCTCAGAGTTGATGTTCACTTTGAGAATCGAATCCAGTATCGTTCGCTTCAAACGCCATCTCGTGATCCGCTTAGCTACTGAGTCCTGATAGCCACTTGCTTGTGCAATGGGATGAATTTAAATTCATTTGGTGTTGTTTTGCTTGTATCTTCCCATTGTTATTTAGGACTGTAATTGATCAGTCTCATGTTCGTATACATGCATCCTATGCGTATTGCCTCGATATATCCTTAAATCATAAGCTTTATAACAATGGGAAGATACAAGTAAAACAAGGGAATTAAAAAAAAGCTGATTTGTTTTTTTATAGAAAAACTTTCACTATTCAATTATACATGTAATATTGTCTTATCTATATTTATTTATTGTAGACTATTGGTTATAATATTTGGACAAAAGTATTCTTTATGCGTAATCTATCACTTATTGGTAGTTTATTATTATTATTAGCTGAAGTACAACAAGAAACACGTAGTCTATTAGCTGGTCTACCATCATCTGGTGAAAATACACATCGACAATATATTCTACTTGGTGGTAGAATACTTATTATTCTAATGTTTGTCACATTAATTCATTTAGGTAGTAGTATATTCTATGTTATACAAGTAAGTATTGTTTACTTTGACCATTAGTATTTTACCTGTTAAAATATTTCATTCATAGATTCAATTTATGTTCCATTTAATTCAATTTGTTCAAATGCTTAGTATCATAAAACCTTATATAACATGTATAGGTCGAAAGGCGGCATATACGGAATTTGTAGTTGATTACTCAGTTAAACCTAAAAAAATATACAACGTTGGTGATTATTCTAAACAAAGATGGATAGTAGTTAGCAGTGTAATCCAGGATACGCGTTTCATCCTATTCGAGACTCGTCGGATGGATTTAGCTGCATTTCAGAGTTGGTGTTCACTCTGGGACTCGAACTCAGTACCGTTCGTTTCAAACACCATCGCGTTATCCACTTAGCAGGTACATTTAGCTGACAAGTCCCAAATGGGACAAAACGCACGTCCTGGATTCAACTACTAGCTACTATCCATCTTTGTTTAGAATGCTTGTGAATTAAGGCAATATTGAGGCAATACGCGCAGTATGCACATATGCGAATGACAACATAATTACAGCGAAATAATTTACACCTAGAATACTTCACATCAACTGTTTCAGTTACCTGTTCTACAGTATACGATAATTACATTTTCTTACTCTTACTAATAGATTACTATCATTTTTTCAAGTATATGGCTACGCTATCGTAAATGATTACTTTCTTAATGTACACTAGATTGAAATGTAAAATTTTGAAGAAGTAGAAGAATATGTCACGTTTATTACAGTCATATTCCATATCCGGTACTTCACAAGACTTCATACCTATGTTAGTCAATAACAGCGATAAGTAGTGAAGTTTATTTATTTTGATTTAGATATATTGTTCCATATCAGAGTCATTTACAACTGATTCGTTCTTAAACAACTTGTAAATTTCATGTGAAATATAGGTAAAGATTATTTTCTATTATAATCAGAGAGAGGGGTTTTGTGGATATTATAGTAATTTTAATAATTGAATTCATGAGTCAATTAAAGCTAAACCACTATGGAAAACGTGGAAGCACTGGATGGCCGTTTCGTCCTAATGTGTGACTCCTGATAGGTCTTGGGTTCGAATCGCTAGGTGGTGTCGTGAATGCGCACTGCTAAGCAGTCCCACAATAGGACGAAACGGCCGTCCAGTGTTTCCAGGTATCCTATGGTGGTTTAGCTTTAATTGACTCATGAATTCAATTATTAAAATTACTATAATATCCACAAAACCCCTCTCTCTGATTATAATCATCTTATGCTCACTAGTGACTGCCTCCAAGAGTTATTTCATGGAGTTCTAGTGAAAAGCCGTGACCATTGGAGTTCAACGGGGTCTATTGTGAGATAGTAACTCACTGATGACAATGGTGAGCGATGGCACAATTTCATGGATTAGTTGAAGTTAGACATTAACACCGTTGGATGCCGACTTAGTGGTTTAAAGGTTAGGCGTTCACGCACGAGACCGATATGAATACAGTGGTCTTGAGTGCTGTTGAAGGTATGAGGGCGGCGGTTATCACTTCTCGGTTCTTCTGGAGGTACCTGAAAAGGGAATTGGGTTAGAGGTGGTCTTAGTGACCTGAGAGCGTGACCGCAGTGCCCAAGGGACAACTGCTTGAGCTCGGTCACACACGACCTTTTTATGGGTAATTTTTGTGTTAGCTCCGTACTTGTTGAGATCTTACCACCGGAGACGGATATCCGTGGGATAAGGCGAGGTGTGCATCTTTAGGGTCGACCTTTTATAACCCCACTCCTCCTTGTGGGAAAGCAGCATCGCTGTCATGCTGGTTGTCTGAAGGAAACACCTTACTGCCGCCACACCTCTGTACAGTCAGCAGTACGACTTCACCCTCAGACCTCGGGTTTGCTGCTTTGTCTTACCGCTCTTCAACCAACCTGTCTGGCATGGTAGGACCTTGAAGAACGATTGTTCCAGGCAGTATAGATCGGCTGCTTCATCGCGATAGGCGAGCCGGACCACCACATCAAAGTAGCAGCAACAGTCGGGGAGAACGATATGTCCTGTGTTCGAATCTCGCGAGGCGGGATCGTGGATACGCACCGCTGTGGAGTAGTCCCACAAGGTTTTCCATGATGATCTAGCTTCAGTTGACTCATGATCTCATCTATTAAAATTATTTCCTATATGTTGAAGTCTATAGAATGGTTATAATTTAATTATCTTTCTTTTTTTCCTATTCTATTTGTAGTCCATTAGTAATTTAATCTTAATTCTATTGGTGGCAATTGGTTATAAAACAAAACTTTGTGCAACAGTATTAGTTATTTGGTTAACTGGTATGAATTTTTATTATAATCGATTTTGGGCTGTTAGTAATGATAGTTTAATGTGGGATTTTTTAAAATATGATTTCTTTCAAACATGGTCAGTTATTGGTGGTTTAGGTTTAGTTGTTGCCTATGGACCAGGTGGTGTTAGTGTAGATGATTATAAAAAGAAATGGTAATAACAATTGATAATATATATAAACATTACATTCTATGTTTGTTCTGATTGTTGTGGACTAGTAATAGTCGTAGTAGTTCATGTATACATGAAATGATGTATATTATGATTACTATCTGATAATAACAATAATAATGTACTTGTTTGATTAGTTCTTTTCTCTTTCATCTTGTAAACTGTTCATTTCATTTATGGGTCATATATATATATATATTACTGGTCAACAAATGAAATAATTATAATAGAATGTAATTATTTTGCAACTCTATAAAAAGAACTATTCTATATGTTCTCTTATTTACTATTTCTTATTGTCTTTTGTTCATTTATTGTTTATATTCAAGGTTATCTCTTTTCTTGTTTGTGTCAATGAACTTTTCTTTTCTTTTTTATACATTGCACAATCTTCCCTCACCCCTCCTGTGTGTGTGTGTGTGTACAGTCTCTATGTGTAATCATGTGTATGTGTGTGGATGTGCGTGCATGCATGTGAACAATCAATCACCTTCATTACATGTTTACTTTATTCTCTTTTATTTATTTGTGGTTCTTTTTTTTTGAAAATAAAAATTCTTTTTATATCCCTCCCCCCTTTTTCTTACTTTTGTTTTCATTTTAATTATTTTCGAATAATATACATGGTATATATATGTTGTCATTTATTGTGACATTTGTGCGCCCTCCCCCTCCTTCTTCCCCCTCTCGATTAGTTGTTTATTTTACAGTTTATCTTGTGTTTTTTTCTCGGTTTTCCCTTTTTTCCCTTCATTGTACCAAATTTTTGAATTCAATTCATATAAAAGTGAGAAAATCATTTCACGGTGTTTTGTTTTGTTTGTTTGTTTCTGAGAAAAAGATTCATTGACTCATTTAAATTAAGCAATAAGGATTTGTAGTAATGATAATTCAATTACTAAACTATCGTTTACCTTTTAATGTATCATGTTGATTGGAGTAGAACTTTGTTGCCCCCAAATGCCTTGGTACGGCCGAGAATGGAGAGAGTCCGCTCTCCCTTTTGAAATGCTCTCACATGGCCATGCGTATATAGTTTTTGCCCGGGAAGTCCTACTCATCGCGTTCTCGTGGCGGGGGTGTTGTTTAAGAAATTGAGAGGATGAAAAGAGAATGTACAGCGCTTTAACTGGGTTGGTTGACATGGAGAGTCCACCTAGGGGAGTTGGAAAACTATGATTTTAAACCAATGGTGCACATGAGTTCCAGTATCCTGAGGGAACAAATGGCATATGGATCAATCGTTGGTCACCATCTACCATGTGATTGCATCTCCTTACGTTGCTCCAATACCTTATGGATCAGAACTTTAGGTTGAAGTCTCAAGGTATGTGTCCCCCTAAGGAAACCACTTTCTTCGGTCTGCGCACCCGGACAGTATCACAGCCCTCACATAGATCGAATGATTTATGTTGCGCATATCTATTTGGTGCCTCCTTGTACCAATGTTTATGTGTTTAAATAAATAAAAGTAGAGCTTTGTTAGAAGAAAAAAGGTGGGAAAAGCCCAAGATATGACATTAGTTTAAGGAATCTTAAATGACTTTAAGAAATATTAGCCATTCAACGAACAGTCAGTATAGAGTTAAATTATATTATACAAAACCAAAGAAATAAAGTGGATACACTGCTTATAAATAGTTCTAAAATCGTAATGCATGCAGTAGAGGAAATCATCCATATGGCTGCAGAATAGTTGGCCTCATGGAGCCATGATAAAGTCTCAAAAACTCATTCAGCCTCGACCACATAGCTTCATTATTGTTTGTGTGCACTTCAGTTGTTGGATCCACAAAATGGTGCTTAAGAATAGCGATATGATGCACATAACCAAGCCTATGTAGGAGTCTGTACACTCTCCGATCATCCGTATGTATTGTAGTACCTGGCTGCAGCCAATGTTACTGGTGCTTTTATTATCCAGTTCGCAATAATTGTCATTATGGTTTTCATCACAAAGTAACATCAGCTATAATACCAAAACTTTATTTAGTCAAATGGATGATCGACTTTCGCGCCAAAATCCGAGATCTGTTATCTAACACGTGGTTAGTTTGTCCATAAATTACAGTCTCGCCGTTTTATTTGTTATAGGCGCCTAATTATCACATTTTCCATAAAATCCCCTGTGAACCGATCGTACGTTAACATAAGGTACTGAAATTGGCGCTGGGAATCCTCAAATGCTTCTAATTGGCTCGTCCATACATTATAGTCTCACTGTCGTTGATTTTAATCACATTGGTAGATGTACACATGCCATTATATCTGTCGTGATTCTCATAACTCATATCAGTGTAGCGGGAAAAGAAATTAATAAAACAAGAATCACTTGAGAAGACTTCATTGAAAATTTAAACATGAAAGGGATACAGTTCGAAAGAAAGATGCTATTGCAATCGATTTTACATCATGTCACCCAATATCTACAAGAATGAACTAAGTATTTCATTGATTCAAACCAAAAAGTCTATACTAATCGATATTTCTTAATCTCTTCGTTCTTAGCTATTTTCTAATATATTCCTATGTGAGCCGGAATAGGGTGTTATTGATATGCATTGGTTAAGAATACGCGACAAATGTAACAATCGCCTTTGATGATGTATGTATGTACGGAATGGAGTTGAAATCTGTAACCAGTGTTCAAAAGTCGAGTTTTTCACCGTTAATCGATCACAACAGTCATTGAAACCATAAAATCCGGATTTTAGTAAACTGAGTCCTAATAGCATATTAACTATATTGGATTTAAATGCTAGAATATTTGATTGTACAGCAAAACTTCAGTGTCACTATCACATAGTGTTCATTAGTCATCAATATTGTATAACTCAACCTGATAAACTGAGTGCATAGACAACTTCATGCTCATACAAAGTTACCCGGTAGCATAGTTTCATTCGGGAATATTCATAAGCGCTTACTAGTTGAAAAAGTCGTCGACTAGCAATGTTTAAAACATGCTTTGACTGAATATATTTTAAGCTAACTATTCAGGAGTGTTGCAAAATCGACAACCAATGTTCATTATAAGGAAATTGTAAGACCTAAGTAAATCTTATTATTTACGCAGTTAAACTATGAGAATTGGACAAGAAATCAAATGTTGCAATCTTTATTTATTTAAACGCATAAATACTGGCACAAAGGGACACCAAATACATATGCACCACATAAATCGTTCGATTTGTGTGAAAGCTGCGATATTGTCCGGGTGACCAAACCGAAGCAGGTATTTTTCTTAGGCGGCCACACTCAGAGTCTCTGACCTAAGGATCTAATCCACAAGGCAATGGAGCAACGTTAGGAGATGCCGTCCCGTGGTAGCCAGTCACTAATAATAGATTCATACGCTATTTGTTCCCTCAGAATCCTGGAACCTGTAGTAAGTCCATTCCGCTATTGTATTATTTATCTGCTCACTGTAATTTAGACATTTGATCCACCATGTAATTCTATGTGCGAGTCTGATTGAGCACATGTCAGCTACCAATCTATTCTCCCATTGGTTGTAATACACAGACAATCAATAACTTATCCATACTTGATTAACATTCATAAATATGTATGGATTTCTAACACACACACACACTCTTGGTTTCACTGTGTTCTTTCTTCGTGTACGCTTGGGGATTTTACCAATCTTTAACAATAAACTATGAGAAGACATCCTGATTAGTAGGAGAGATGATGGTTCCATCCAATGCGCTATATACAGAAAACCAACATGGACAGGACAATATCTTAATTTTCATAGTCACTGCCCTATTCAATACAAACGCGGTTTAATAAAGAGCTTATTCAATAGAATCAATCGTATTTGTACTAGTGATACTAATGAAGTAGAGATGAAGCTCTTGACTGATACGTTAATGAATAATGGTTATTCTTTGAAGTCCTTAAACCACTGGAAGGGTTGCAATACGATTAGACCTATGACGCTTCTGGCACCCAAAAAGCGAGTTTATATTACGTTACCATTCAGAGGCGACACAAATAGTCTCAAGTTGAAACAGAGATATAAATTAGCTATCAACCGGACATTTTATGCAGCCCAACTTGTCATTATCGAAAAGATAAGGTCTATGTTTCACCAAACAGCACGAAAGCGATTGTGTCACATCCCATTGCGTCTATCAATTTACGTGTATGTATGGGAACACATACATAGGGAAGAGCAATCGTGATTTGCAATTATGGGTGGATGAACATATACCAAAATGGTTGCAAAATCAGATGAATTCCAATGGTGAAATAAGACCACAGGATAGACAGACATCATCCTCCATTGTGAAACATTTGATTGAGATGGGTCATAAGGTTGATATCAAATCAGCATTTGTAGTGTTGTACAAAAGCTTTCAAGGACGTATACTAAGGTTTATTGAAGCCTTTACTATACGGAAATTGAAACCTCCTTTATGTGTTCAAAAACAGTTTGTCCTTACCCTTAACCTATCCAAGTAGCACGGATTTATCACCGAGAGTGGTTATCACATTGTTTTTATGTACTTTATTATCATTTTGTCTTTGTCACGGCTTACCTTTAACCTGTCTAGTTGACCTTATAATTTTCATATATAAGTGTTTTTAACAAGTATGTAATGTGTGATCAGATTGTTCGAAATGTATTGAGCAAATCTATCATCACATAATTCTGATAAACTTTGTCTTCTCATTGCATGATCGAAATTTATCAAACAGGACTAATTGTTTTAAATTTTGAATAAATCTCGAGTAAATCCATAATTCTATTAGGAGATTTAGCCTGTTAACGAGATACTAGCAATTGGAGTCAGATATAGGGGAAATTAGCCTCTCCAAAAACTATGTACACTACCAGTTTAGAATCAAGGTTTTCTAACTGCACTAGATGGATCCTCTATATCTACCAACCCGGTAAAAGCATCGGACATTCACTTTTCCTCGTCCTTCTCTTAACTTCGTAAACAACACCTCAACCTCTAGAAGTGAATGTGTAGGACTTCCCTGACAGTGGTTGTATACGTATAGGTGTTATACCCCGATAAGAATAATGAATGGTAATTCTGGGGATCCATTTATGGACCAATACTACACATATTTTTCAGTCAGTCAGTCAGCTACAACGTAGGACCAGGCACATATGTGCATCGGTCCAGGTTGCCATACCGCATCAGCACAACAAGATGAACATCGGATTCATAGCAGTGGTTAGGTCAAAGGTAGTAATATGTAAGAGAAAGATTGCAGATAGAGATATAGTACAAGAAGAAAGAATTGGTTCGTAGAAAGAAAGATATGAAGCGATTTTAATCTCTTAGATTAAGGGAAGACAGGGAGTGTATACACCGACGCCATTGTGATCGATTCTGAGCCATGTCACCAAGAGTCTCCAACCATCGGTTACAATAGTCACGTGGACCCCAACCAAGTAGTCTGCATCTACCAACATGGCTCAGACTAGAAGTTAGTGACTTCAAGCACTGATGCCACGTTTTGGTTTGGCCGCCCCTAACTTTCTTCCAACCATTTCCAATACCGGATAGCATTACACGTCGTGGTAATCGGTGTACAGGCATACGTAACACGTGGCCCAACCATCTCAGTCGATGAAGATTCATAACCTCATCAACTGATTTACCATCATTCCCTAATACCCTGCGTCTAACCTCACTATTACTTACCCGGTGATCCCAGCAGATGCCAGCAATATTTCTAAGGCATCTGTGGTCAAATACTAGTAGCTTACGAGTGTCTTCTACTCTTAATAGCCATGTTTCGCTGCCGTAAATTAAAACAGAACGGACTGCCGCGCAATATACTCGTCCTTTTATTGATAGACGGATATCTCGCCTTCGCCATAGGTGACGCAAGTTGGCAAAAGCCAATCGAGCTTTTCGAATCCATGCTGAGATTTCGTCCGATACCAACCCATTAGGGCTGATCAGACTTCCAAGATAAGTGAAGTTGTCAACGCGTTCGACTATTTCACTCCCTATCCTTAGTTCAGGTGTTAACGCAGACCAGTCCTGAAGCAACAACTTGCATTTAGAGGGAGAGAAGCGCATTCCAAACATCCTGGCATTGTTGCTCAGTGCTACCAGAAGACTCTGCATTTTGTCAGCGTCTTCACCAAACAGGACTATGTCATCTGCGTATTCTAAGTCGATAAGTGGACCTCCTGGAAGGAGATCAATACCCGAGAACTCAGTCGACGAGAAAGTTATTTCCATCAGTAGATCTATGATGAAGTTAAACAAAAATGGGGAAAGTGGACAGCCTTGACGGACACCACTTGAGGTTGCAAAAGTAGATGACAGTTCGCCATAAGCTCTGACTCGACTAGTAGTGTTCGAGTAAAGAGCCTTCACAAGGTTTATGTACTTCTGGGGTACGCCTTTCAATGACAGACACTGCCACAGAATCTCGCGGTCTACCGAGTCAAATGCTGCTTTTAAGTCGAGAAAGACCACCATTGTCGGACGCCGATAAGTATGCCTGTGTTCTAGAATCTGACAAATGGTGAATATGTGGTCGATGCAGCCACGACCAGGTCTAAAGCCAGCTTGGTTCTCTCGTCGTACAATTGTTATGTAAGTAAACTGTTCATATTCATGTCGCTCTTATTATAAGCTTTAGTTGGACCCATAGACTAATACTATACGATTTACCATTCTTGAGTTATGGCCTATCTATTAATTACTATCTCCCTCATTCACAGCCACTTTTGGCCAAATATTGTACAAATGTTATTTTCTATTTTATGGTACGTTGTGGTCGGTTTGATTGGTAAATAAACCCCCGTATGTTTGAAATAAATCATTCATATTGCAGAGGCTGAGATTGGTGTTCTGGACTTAACTGGCTGGGCTAGACAGGGAAGCGAGACCAATCAAGACTCTAGGCTGCTCGCACGTGTTTTAGGCGTTACTGGTTCGATCGATAGTTCGCTGCTCTCTGATTGGCGGTATAGTTGCGTTATCCAATATACAGGGCACACAAGTTATAACAATAGGGCCATATGAGATCATTTGAAGAAGAAGAAGAGCTAATTCTCTCCCAGCCATCTCAACTAATGAAGTTTCACGACTTCATCAACTGATTTGCTATCTTCACCTAGTACCCGTTTCCTAACAACTGCATTACTTACTCGATGGTCCCAGGATATACGAGCAATGTTTCGAAGACACCTATGATCAAATACTAGTAACCTACGAATATCCTCTACTCTTACCGGTCATGTAACACTTCCATAAAGTAGGACGGAACGAACCGCTGAGTAGTAAAACACGTTCTTTGGTCGATAAACAGATATCTCACCTACGCCATAAATGACTCAAGTTTCGGGAAAAGCTAGTCGAAGAATGTTATAGAAATACATATAGATAGATATATATATTTAAAAAGAAGAAAAGAAAAAGACTCTATACAATTACAAGTATGGTATCATTTCAATGGTAACGCTGTGGTTACAGTTCTTGGTTGAGTTGAATTATTTATTGTTTGTATATTATTCATCTTATTCATTGAAATGACTGAATTAGTTTGATTTTGTATAATTAATTTATTAATATGTTCACGTGTTAATAATGCTAAACCTAATTGATCATCTTTATTAAATGGTTGACCCATTAAACGTAAAAAACGTCTTGATGCTTGTATTGATTCTTCTATAGATAAATTAATAAATGCATCTTGTAATTGGGATTGTATCCAACCGGGTAATTTAAAACGTTTATCTGCGCGAGCATAACGCTAAAAATTTTAAAAACTAAATATCATAATATCTAAGCAAAGATGAATAGTGAATAGTAATGAAATCTTGAAAGTGTGTTTCGTCCTATTTGAGATTTGTCAACTGAATGCAACTACTACATCTTAGAGTTGATATTCCCTTTGGGATTCGAACCCAATACTTTTCACGTTATCCACTTAGCTACTGAGTCCTGATACCCCCCTACTTGTGCAATGGGATGAAGTTTAAATTCACTTGGTGTTCTTTTACTTGTATTTTCCCATTGTTTTACTTGTATCTTCTCATCAGTCTCATGGTGGTATATGTGCATCCTGTGCGGATTGCCTCGATATATCCCTAAGTCATAAGCATTATAGGCAAAGATGGATAATGGGTAGCAGTGGAATCCAGTACGGTACTGGGTTCGAGTCCCGGAGTGAGCATCAACTCTGGAATGCAGGTACATCCGGTTGACGAGTCCCAAATAGGACGAAACGTGCTTTGTCCTGAATTCCACTGTTAGCCACTATCCATCATAGAAAAATTGTATTTAAAATAATCTAATGTTTCAACCGGTCAACTGGTTTGAACTCCTTCAAGATAAAGAGAGGCGGTGGATATATATAAGAAAGTTTTAACATAGATTTACTACAAAATTACTACCACTATTACAAACCACTTACTTTATCCGCTAAAATCATAATACCATAATCGGATTTACCACGAATAGCTCGTCCTAAACATTGTGCAGCATGGCGCATTGCATCGAATGTAATAAATTCATTCGGTCGAACGTTGTATTGTTCACGAAGGAAATCTAAACGAGCCTAATAAAAAAAAGTAAAACTAAATATGTTAAACAATAATGCAGATAATCAAAAATTGTAGAGTTTGTAAAGTTTAAAAAGGATTTAACATTCAAAATCTATAAAGGTGAATAGTTTGCTAGTTCTAGCCTACTTACTTACGCATGTTACACCTCATGGAGGAGCATAGGTCACTCACCAGCACACTCCATCCAACCCTGTCCTGGGCAATCCTTTCCAGTTGCTGTTAATCCTTTACATATCTGCTTCTATTTCCCGACGTAATGTGTTCTTCGACCCTCCTATTTTCCTCTTCCCTTCAGGATTCCAAGTTAGGGCTACATCATCATACATTATCATTATTATCAGCTATGTAGGAGAAGGGTCTTATATCTTTGCATTCATAAAACGTGATGTGTTCCTCACACATGGTGAACTGTTAAGCCTCATTAGTGTTGCAATGAGTACAGAAAATTAGAGCTACACTACTTAATCGAAACTCTACTGTATTGTTGTAATAATATGATCAATAGCTGAGATCATGAGTCGATTGAAGCTAGACCATCATGAAAAACATGGAGTCACTGGACGGCCGTTTCATCCTATTGTGAGACCCCTCAGCAGTGCGCACCCACGACCTCGCCTAACGGGATTCGGACCCAGGACCTACCATTCTCGCACACGAGCGCTTAACCACTAGACCAGTGAGCTGGCATCCAACGATGTTAATGAGGAGTCCTACATTAGTACGAAACGACCGTACAGTGCTTCCAGGTTTTCCATGGTGATCTAGCTTCAATCGACTGATGATTTCAACTATTGAAATTACTACAATCTCTACAAAACCCCTTCTGATACTACTAATAAGATGTCTGCTACTTCTGTATATGTCATTACAATCTAAATATAAAACTAAGTTAATCTGAAATGGGGTATCAGTTCACTAAGTTCTACAGACAAGTATTGGTTACACATAGAGAATGTAATGAAAAAAATGGAGATTTAAATAGCTCTCAGTGTTTAGTAACTCGATTCATTACAATAATCATGCAGTTGATAAATAGGTGACCTTAACATTTTAACAAGTCACCGTAAATCCAAAAAAATGCACGATCACAATTGGGTTTAAACATAGACCATCATGTTTCGTCTCATAACAACTTAACATTTAAACTACACATTATTGAGAACTGACTGCAGTTAGGAATGTAAACTACTGGATGCAAACTTAATGATACAAGGATCAAGATCTGGTAACTATACTTAAAAGCTTTCGGTTCAATATAAGTTGGGTATTGAATTCAAACTCGTTACTAGTCCCTCAAATGCCCTGGTATGGCCGTAAGTGGAAAGAGTTAGCTCTCCCTCTTTAAATGATCTCACGTGGCCACGTGTATACAATCACCCTGACCCATAGGTTCTAATGGGTTTTAGGTTTGACCTCTGGTGAGACCGTTGGTGTCCATTGCTGACGAGCCTTATATCAGAATAAAACAACTGTGCAATGTCCTCTGGTTTTTCAATGGTATACCAACTGAGATCAATCTGTGATGAATACAACCTGAGTACAACTGTCAAGTTGTTACTTTTGAAGCATATATATTTAATAATAAATGGTGTGTACTCATAAATTCCAAACCTCCTCATGACTGAAGTAATAATCTATAAACCAAATGAAAAACAAATTGGAAAACAGACCTTTTTTCAGATAACTTTGATAGAAACTTTGGCATGAAACACGCATACGAAGTTTCTGTGTCTAGTTGAAGAAAAGTATTCAGAGTATGCACACACACACACACACCAGTTTAAGAATTAAGTGCTAGTGAAAAAGAATTAAAGTTTTTTAAGATACAATAGAAATATTTTCACCTTGAATATTCGACTCTGTGTATACACATACGGTACACCGAACATGATAACACAACGGCCAAGATGATGATCTACAATTTTGGAAAAAAATAGAAATGAATGTAATTTGATCTTTAAAAGAATAAGATACTTGTTCATTCTAATCAGAATGGACATTTATGGTGATTTTAATAGTCGATCTAGGCTAGGTAACCATTGAAAACTTAGAAGTACTGGACGGTCGATTTGTCTAGTATGGAACTCCTCAGAGGCGCTCATCCATGATCCCACACTCTGGTATTGAACCCAGGACCTTTGATCTTGCGCGCAAACACTTAACCTCTAGACCAATGAGCCGGCATCCAATGGTGTTAATCTCTAACTCCAATTAATCCATAACCGAAAGTTTTGGGCTGGAATCCAGAGCAAAAGATCATGGATACACATTGTTGAGGAGTCTCACAATAGGATAAAACAGTCATCCAATGCTTCTAGGTTTTCAATGGTGGTCTAACATCAATCGATTCATGATCTCAATCAAAAACTTAAAAATCTACACAACTCCATAATGATAATGTGAAAGCAATTTGAAACCTCATCACTTCTGGATAATAATAAGCTAATAATACCAGGGTAGGTTTATGGGTGAGACCAAACTGTTTTCGAATACACAAAGGGGGTTTGGATTTTCACATGGCTATGGCTACATTAAACCTCAGTATACGCTCTTTTACACTTTTGTATAACACAACAAAAGCCGAGTTATGATCAATCTTATGATCTGATTCAATTATGTGTCTGGCGATAGAGGATGATAGATATTTATCCTTTACTCTTATTAGGTCATTCGATTCTATTTGTTTCTGCAACCATTTAGGTACAGTTCACATACCCTAATTTCGAGATCACGATTACTTCTCCCTATGTATATGTGACCACACACACACACACACATTTAACAAGTATTTTATGTGTGATCAGATTGTTCTAAATGTATTGCACTAATATTATCATCATCATCACAGAGTTCTTATAACCATAGTCTTATCAGTATAGGGGTTGTGGGGATTATTAAGTTTTTGATTGAGATGATGAACGAATTGATGTTAGATCACCGTTGGAAACCTGAAAGCACTGGACGGCCGTTTCGTCCTATTGTGGGACTCCTCAGTAGTGCGCATCCACAGTCCCGCTCGCGGGATTCGAACTCAGGGCTTTCAGTCTCGCGTACGAACGCTCAATCCACTGAGCCGGCATCCAATGGTTCATGACCTCAACCAAAAATCATCGTTTTGTTATTACACTATTTAGATTTATCAAAGGAACGAACTGCTTTAAATAATGAATATTACTTCTCAATGGAATATATTGACTACTTTCATCATAGTTGATTGAAGTTAGTTTAATTAAATGAGTAGTATACAGAGTCTACTACTAAATAATATTGCAGTAAACGAGAATACGATTAGGGACAATCGAATGTATTTGAGCCTGAAATCATAGAATCACTTACTAAAATCTGAAAATCATACAGTGAAATACTTCATTTACAAAATATCAGACCATCATGTCAGATTTCATTGTTTCTGTATTTACATATCAATTGCATTCTATTTTCGTTATTTCCTTCTCGATCTTCCTCTATTGAAATACATGTTATCCCTAACTATCGTTATATACTACTATTTATGTGTATATATAAGTAGTTCAAATCACAACATGAGTAGTTAAAATATAGCCTTATGTTGACTTTAATAAAAATATAAATTCTGATTACCTTAGTAAATATATCTAAACTATTGTATAATGGATAGGATAACAACAATGTTATAAGAGTATATGTCTATTTCAAATATTCAGTTAGCCCGCAAATGCCCTGGTATGGCCGAGAGTGGGGTGGGCCCTCCCTTCCTCTCGAAATGCTCTCATACGACTACGCTTATACAACCTTTGCCAGGGAAGTCCTACTCACTGCCTTCTCGTGGCATTACTGTTGTTTGCGAAATTGAGAGGACGAAAAGCGAATGTCCGGCGCTTTAACCGGATCCCAATCCCAAACCAATGGTGCACATAGGTTCCACGATCCTGAGGGAACAAATGGCGTATGAACCAATTGTTGGTCGCCGCCTACCATGGGACTGCATCTCCTGACATTGCTCCACTACTTTGTGGATCAGACCTTTAGGTTTAAGGCTCGGGGTGTGGTCCCCTAAGAAAACCATCTGCTTCGGTTTTGGCACCTGGGCAGTATCACAGCCCACACACAAAATATGGTGTGGGGCATGTATATTTGGTGCCCTCTTGTACCAATATTTATGTGTGCAAATAAATAAATAAGTATTCAGCTAATAAGACAAACTATACAAGTTAACTAGATACTGTTCTGAACCAAACTTATTAAGTATGACCTAATTTACAGAACAAAATAAACAATGAATAGAATATAAACAAGTAATTAGACATAGGTATACGAAGAAGTACGCCTTTATGTGTAGAAAGGTGTGATAAATGAATAATGACACCTATAACACTACTCATAACAAGACTGACAATTACAAAAAACAAACATTATGAGGATATGTACTTGTATACAAAGTCAAGAAAAACGTAGAAGTACTTGGATTAAAATGACATATTTATTAATTAGGTATAGAGGTGTAATAAGAAAGACTACAAGAAACCATTTTCTAGTCAAGGCATGAAAAAACATAGGGTATTTGTTTCACACAGACATTTCCGATCACTGAGACTCCAAAACAGGAGACATATGAATTCATTTGGTGTTGTTTTACTTGTACCTTCCTATTGTTATTTAGGACTGTAATTGATTAGTCACTTATTGGCATATGTTTAAATTTCACACCATTGTACAAGTAGGTGGCTATTAGGACTCAGTAGTTAAGTGGATAACGCGATGGCGTTTAAAGCGAACAGTACTAGGTTCGAGTCCCGGAGTGAATATCAAATCTTGGATGCAGGTACATCCAGCTAACGAATCCCAAATAGGACGAAACGCGCGTTGTCCTGCATTCCACTTACTTACTTACGCCTGTTACTCCTCGTGAAGGAGCATAAGCCGCTCACCAGCATTCTCCATCCAACCCTGTCCTGGGCAATCCTTTCTAGCTCCGTCCAGTTGTAATTCATCCTTTTCATATCTGCTTCTATTATCCGACGCAATGTGTTCTTTGGCCGTCCTCTTTTTCGCTTCCCTTCAGGACTCCAAGTTAGGGCTTGCCTCGTGATGCAGTTTGACGATTTGCGTAATGTATGTCCTATCCATTTCCATCGTCTTTTCCTAATTTCTTCTTCAGCTGGAAGTTGGTTTGTTCTCTCCCACAGAAGGCTATTGCTGATGGTATCCGGCCAATGGATGTTGAGTACCTTGCGTAGACAGTTATTTATAAATACTTGTACCTTCTTGATGGTGGTTGTTGTAGTTCTCCGAGTTCCAGCTCCATACAGTAGAACTGCCATGACGTTGGTATTGAAGATTCTCACTTTGATATTGGTTGAAAGTTGTTTTGAGTTCCATATGTTCTTCAGTTGTAGGAAAGTGGCCCTTGCTTTGCCGATCCTCGCCTTTACGTCTGCATCGGATCCTCCTTGTTCATCGATGATGCTTCCCAGGTATGTGAAGGACTCTACATCTTCCAGAGTTTCGCCATCAAGTGTGATTGGATTGCTGTTCTCCGCTTTGAATTTGAGGACCTTAGTTTTCCCTTTGTGTATGCTGAGGCCTACTGATGCAGAGACTGCTGCTACACTGGTTGTCTTCATCTGCATCTGTTCGTGTGTACGTGATAGGAGGGCTAGGTCATCTGCGAAGTCCAAATCGTCTAATTGATTCTGAGCTGTCCATTGTATTCCGTGTTTTCCTTCAGATGTTGAGGTCTTCATAATCCAGTCGACCACCAGAAGAAAGAGGAAGGGAGAGAGTAAACAGCCTTGTCTGACTCCGGTCCTTACTTGGAATGCATCTGTCAGCTGTCCTCCATGCACTACTTTGCACTGTAGTCCGTCGTATGAGTTCCGGATAATATTGACAATCTTCTCAGGAACTCCGTAGTGTCGAAGAAGTTTCCATGATTTTCTCCTATCTACACTGTCAAATGCCTTTTCATAATCAATGAAGTTGATGTATAGTGACGAGTTCCACTCAACTGATTGTTCGACGATGATCCGTAGTGTTGCAATTTGGTCTGTGCACGACCGATCCTTACGGAATCCAGCTTGTTGATCTCGAAGTTGGGCGTCTACTGCATCCTTCATCCGGTTCAGCAACAATCTGTTGAAGACTTTCCCTGGTATTGACAGTAGTGTTATGCCTCTGTAGTTTTCACATTTGCTCAGATCTCCTTTCTTTGGAATCTTGATGAGGTGTCCTTCTTTCCAGTCCATCGGCACTTGTTCCTCCTCCCAAATCTTTTTGAATAGAAGATAAAGCATGCTTGTGGTTGCTTCGATGTCTGATTTCAGTGCTTCAGCTGGTATGTTGTCGGGTCCCGCTGCTTCCCCGCTCTTGATTTGTCTGATGGCCATTCTAATTTCTTCCGTAGTTGGTGGAGTGACATCGATAGGAAGACCTATGTGTGCTGCTTCGATGTCCACTGGATTCATTGGAGCCGGCCTATTCAGGAGCTCTTCGAAGTATTCTACCCATCTGTTACGCTGTTGTTGAATTTCGGTGATTGGCTTGCCTTCTTTTTCTTCGACCGGCCTCTCTGGTTTACTGTATTTCCCTGATAGTTTCTTCGTTGTATCGTGAAGCCGTTTCATATTTCCTTCTCTAGCAGCTTTTTCTGCCGTCGTTGCTAGTTCTTCCACGTATTTCTTCTTGTCGGCTCTAATGCTCCTCTTCACTTGTTTGTTTGCTTCTATGTATTCAACTTGTTCTTGGACTTTCTCTGCTCGTGTTCGGCTGTTGTTAATTGCTGCCTTCTTGTTCTTCCTTTCTTTGATCTTGTCCAATGTTTCTGTAGAGATCCATTCCTTATGATGGTATTTCTTTAGACCCAGCACCTCTTGACACGTTGAAGTTAATGCTTCCTTGATGCCTTTCCAGTTGTCCTCCATACTAGTTTCTTCTTCT